CCAAAGAAGGCGCCAACAGATCCACCGTCGTGTTCGCGTGACAACAGATACACGAAACGCTCTTCCAGACACGGCTACACGAACTAACGGTCGGTTCACCTCGAATGTTTGCAGACGACATGATGAGTTTGTCACATGCTCAAAATGAGCAAAATTAAAAGAGCAGATGACCTACTCGGAAGGTTGGTTGGGTTGAATAGAAGTTGACTTGAGTGGAGAGTCGTAGGTACATTGCACTCGCCTTCTGAACCAGAACCGAGCCCGATGGCACTTAGTGCTAGACGGAGGATCTGTCTGGACCATCTGGTTACTAAGACACTCTCCGTCTCCTATTTCCCCGCTAGGCTTGGCAACTACGCCTTTTGATTTGTTTCCTCCAATAAGCTTCAATGCTTGTCTTCTGGGGCACGGTACCAAGGCCTCTCTTACGATTAGTTGTCTTCGCAACCGTGGCCAAAGCCCCAATTACGGAGCATGGCCAAGCTGTATCAAGAGAATGGACACGACATTTTTGTGGGCGACCATCTCCACTCGTGCTGGGAGCTAATACCAACAGGTTCAATCTGGACCTGACTGATGGCGATCATTTTCTCTATCCTTTTTATGTGGTTATTGCTGTATCATATTTATTTTGGTAAGGCTGTTGCCGATACAAAAGCAAATGTCGAGTATCCTTACTTTAATTAGCCATAATCTTCAACTTTGCTTGAACTGGAGAATACTACTCGTCAGGCTACTGCTTGGTTTGGATGTGGCGGCACCCCAATCAAGTAAACCATTCAAGGCCAGCATTATCCAATCCCCGCCAGTCGAGTCCCCCTGGCGATGGGGCAGATTGTCGTAGTCCAGGCGTAGTCTAGTTTCTTTGTAAGGTTGAAATGAAGTACCTGCGGAAAGTGGCAGTAGTTTGGCGAATGAGGAGGGAATTTGAATGGAGTTTGTTTGATGCTGCTTTTGGTTATAACCATGCCAAATAATTTGTCTATACCATTGCATAGTCTAGCCTTAACTAAACCACTTTTTATCTGCTCCAGTTCCATTTTTGTGGGAATAGGTCAATCTTGACGCCAGTTAAGGATACAGCAGCTTGGTATTTAATGCATTGTGTAAAGTAAGAGTGTTCAACATCGAATGGGATAACTTTACAGAATACAAGTTTCTTGGTTTTCGGTGATGACAATTGGTACCATATGTACACTTCAGGTACGAGGTAAATTTAAGTATCCATGACTTGGTTGGTTTACAAATGTTAAGATCACTTTCCTTTCGAGTGAAATGGGCGAGGAAAGGATTCATAGATCGACGTAACCAGAAGACGTACACATTTAACTGAATGTGACGCGTCACTCCAGCATTTTCCTATAATTACTTGAG